CTCCCTGGGATCACTAAATACAGGGGACTGGTGTTATGCAACACTGGGATATCTCCCTGGGATCACTACGACGGGGGACTGGTGTTATGCAACCACTGGGATATCTTCCTGGGATCACTAAGTACAGGGCCCGTTTATGCAACACTGGATATATTCCTGGGATCACAATACGGGGGACTGTGTTAGCAACACTGGGAAAATCTCCCTGGGATCACTACGTACAGGGGACTGGTGTTATGCAACACTGGGATATCTTCCTGGGATCACTAAGTACAGGGGACTGGTGTTATGCAACACTGGGATATCTTCCTGGGATCACTACGTACAGGGGACTGGTGTTATGCAACACTGGGATATCTCCCTGGGATCACTACGTACAGGGGACTGGTGTTATGCAACCTGGATATCTTCCTGGAACACTACGTACAGGGACTGGTGTTATGCAACACGGGGATATCTTCCTGGGATCACTAAGTACAGGGGACTGGTGTTATGCAACACTGGGATATCTTCCTGGATCACTACGTAATGGGACGGGTTTGTTAGGGCAACACTGGGATATCTTCCGGGGATCACTAAGTAAAAGGGGACTGGTGTTATGCAACACTGGGATATCTTCCTGGGATCACTACGTACGGGGGAACTGGTGTTATGCAACACTGGAATCTCCCGGGGATCACTACGTACAGGGGACTGGTGTTATGCAACACTGGGATATCTTCCTGGGATCACTAAGTACAGGGGACTGGTGTTATGCAACACTGGGATATCTTCCTGGGATCACAAAGTACAGGGACTGGTGTTATGCAACACTGGGATATTTTCCCGGGGATCACTACGTACGGGGGACTGGTGTTATGGCAACACTGGGATATCTTCCTGGGATCACTAAGTCAGGGGACTGGTGTTTATGCAACACTGGGATATCTTCCTGGGATCACTAAGTACAGGGGACTGGTGTTATGAAACACTGGGATATCTCCCTGGGATCACTAAATACAGGGGACTGGTGTTATGCAACACGGGGATATATTCCGGGGACCCACTAAGTACAGGGGACTGGTGTTATGCAACACTGGGATATCTTCCTGGGATCACTAAGTAAAAGGGGAAACTAGTGTTATGCAACACTGGGATACTCCCCTGGGATCACTAAATACAGGGGACTGGTGTTATGCAACACTGGGATATATTCCTGGGATCACTAAGTACAGGGGACTGGTGTTATGCAACACTGGGATATCTTCCTGGGATCACTAAGTACAGGGGACTGGTGTTATGAAACACTGGGAAAATCTCCCTGGGATCACTAAATACAGGGGACTGGTTTATGCAACCACTGGGATATCTCCCGGGGATCACTACGTACAGGGGACTGGTGTTATGCAACACTGGGATATCTTCCTGGGATCACTAAGTACAGGGGACTGGTGTTATGCAACACTGGGATATATTCCTGGGATCACTAAGTACAGGGGACTGGTGTTATGCAACACTGGGATATCTCCCTGGGATCACTACGTACAGGGGACTGGTGTTATGCAACACTGGGATATCTTCCTGGGATCACTAAGTACAGGGGACTGGTGTTATGCAACACTGGGATATCTTCCTGGGATCACTAAGTACAGGGGACTGGTGTTATGAAACACTGGGATATCTCCCTGGGATCACTAAATACAGGGGACTGGTGTTATGCAACACTGGGATATATTCCTGGGATCACTAAGTACAGGGGACTGGTGTTATGCAACACTGGGATATCTTCCTGGGATCACTAAGTACAGGGGACTGGGTTTAAATGCAACACTGGGATATATTCCTGGGATCACTAAATACAGGGGACTGGTGTTATGCAACACTGGATATTCCTGGGATCACTAAGTACAGGGGACTGGTGTTATGCAGCACTGGCATATATTCCTGGAATCACTAAGTACAGCGGACTGGTGTTATGCAACACTGGGATCACTAAGTACAGGGGACTGGTGTTATGCAACATTGGGATATCTTCCTGGGATCACTAAGTACAGGGGACTGGTGTTATGCAACACTGGGATACCTTCCTGGGATCACTAAGTACAGGGGACTGGTGTTATGCAACACTGGGATATCTTCCTGGGATCACTAAATACAGGGGACTGGTGTTATGCAACACTGGGATATCTTGCTGGGATCACTAAATACGGGGGACTGGTGTTATGCAACACTGGGATATATTCTGGACACTAAGTACAGGGGACTGGTGTTATGCAAAAACTGGGATATCTTCCTGGGATCACTACGTACGGGGGACTGGTGTTATGCAACCCCTGGAAAATCTCCCTGGGATCACTACGTACGGGGGAAACTGGTGTTATCAAACACTGGGATATCTTCCTGGGAACACTACGTACAGGGGACTGGTGTTATGCAACACTGGGATATCTTCCTGGGATCACTAAGTACAGGGGACTGGTGTTATGCAACACTGGGATATCTTCCTGGGATCACTACGTACAGGGGACTGGTGTTATGCAACACTGGGATATCTTCCTGGGATCACTAAGTACAGGGGACTGGTGTTATGCAACACTGGGATATCTTCCTGGGATCACTAAGTACAGGGGACTGGTGTTATGAAACACTGGGATATCTCCCTGGGATCACTAAATACAGGGGACTGGTGTTATGCAACACTGGGATATATTCCTGGGATAACTAAGTACAGGGACTGGTGTTATGCAACCCTGGGATATCTTCCTGGGATCACTAAGTACAGGGGACTAGTGTTATGCAACACTGGGATATCTCCCTGGGATCACTAAATACAGGGGACTGGTGTTATGCAACACTGGGATATATTCCTGGGATCACTAAGTACAGGGGACTGGTGTTATGCAACACTGGGATATCTTCCTGGGATCACTAAGTACAGGGGACTGGTGTTATGAAACACTGGGATATCTCCCTGGGATCACTAAATACAGGGGACTGGTGTTATGCAACACTGGGATATCTCCCTGGATCACTACTTTACAGGGACTGGTGTTATGCAACACTGGGATATCTTCCTGGGATCACTAAGTACAGGGACTGGTGTAATGCAACACGGGGAAATATATTCCTGGGATCACTAAGTACAGGGGACTGGTGTTATGCAACACTGGGATATCTCCCTGGGATCACTACGTACAGGGGACTGGTGTTATGCAACACTGGGATATCTTCCTGGGATCACTAAGTACAGGGGACTGGTGTTATGCAACACGGGGATATCTTCCTGGGATCACTAAGTAAAAAGGGGACGGTGTTATGAAACACGGGGATATCCCCTGGGATCACTAAATACAGGGGACGGGTGTTATGAAACACTGGGATATATTCCCTGGGATCCTAAGTACAGGGGACTGGTGTTATGCAACATTTGGATACTTCCTGGGATCACTAAGTACAGGGACTGGTGTTATGCAACACGGGGATATCTCCCCTGGATCACTAAATACAGGGACGGGTGTTATGCAACACTGGATATTCCTGGGATCACTAAGTAAAAGGGGACTGGTGTTATGCAGCACTGGCATAAAATTCCTGGAATCACTAAGTACAGGGGACTAGTGTTATGCAACACTGGGATCACTAAGTACAGGGACTGGTGTTATGCAACACTGGGATATATTCCTGGGATAACTAAGTACAGGGACTGGTGTTATGCAACACTGGGATACCTTCCTGGATCACTAAGTACAGGGACTGGTGTTATGCAACACTGGATACCTTCCTGGGATCACTAAGTACAGGGACTGGTGTTATGCAACACTGGGATACCTTCCTAGGATCACTAAGTACAGGGACTGGTGTTATGCAACACTGGGATACCTTCCTGGGATCACTAAGTACAGGGGACTGGTGTTATGCAACACTGGGATACCTTCCTGGGATCACTAAGTACAGGGGACTGGTGTTATGCAACACTGGGATACCTTCCTGGGATCACTAAATACAGGGCACTGGTGTTATGCAACACTGGGATACCTTCCTGGGATCACTAAGTATAGGGGACTGGTGTTATGCAACACTGGGATACCTTCCTGGGATCACTAAGTACAGGGGACTGGTGTTATGCAACACTGGGATACCTTCCTGGGATCACTAAGTACAGGGGACTGGTGTTATGCAACACTGGATATTCCTGGGATCACTAAGTACAGGGGACTGGTGTTATGCAACACTGGGATACCTTCCTGGGATCACTAAGTACAGGGGACAGGTGTTATGCAACACTGGGATACCTTCCTGGGATCACTAAGTACTGGGGACTGGTGTTATGCAACAGTGGGATACCTTCCTGGGATCACTAAGTACAGGGGACTGTGTTAGCAACACTGGGATACCTTCCTGGGATCACTAAGTACAGGGGACTGGTGTTATGCAACACTGGGATACCTTCCTGGATCACTAAGTACAGGGGACTGGTGTTATGCAACACTGGGATACCTTCCTGGGATCACTAAGTACAGGGGACTGGTGTTATGCAACACTGGGATACCTTCCTAGGATCACTAAGTACAGGGGACTGGTGTTATGCAACACTGGATATTCCTGGGATCACTAAGTACAGGGGACTGGTGTTATGCAACACTGGGATACCTTCCTGGGATCACTAAGTACAGGGGACTGGTGTTATGCAACACTGGGATACCTTCCTGGGATCACTAAGTACAGGGGACTGGTGTTATGCAACACTGGGATACCTTCCTGGGATCACTAAGTACAGGGGACTGGTGTTATGGAACACTGGTATACCTTCCTGGGATCACTAAGTACAGGCGACTGGTGTTATGCAACTGATATTTAACCCAGGAGGAATAGCAACTAAAATATTGTGATGACTCTCAGAATACTTCTAGGTATACTCAAGGTAGACGCCAGGTATACCTCTACCCCGTTTGTGTTGGAAATAACCGAGACAGACGGTGGCAAGCACAGATGTTCACAAGAAAAATGATAATACAAGGATGTTCTCTTGTTCTCTCTTTATTTCCAAGACATTACATTATTGCTGTATGTAACAAGAGGAAAATAATATAAATCAAAATACATAAAAAATACATATTTATCCATCTCACATGTGAGAAATTGAACGAACTTAAACATAACTCACATAATGTTCAGAATAACTCACATAATGTTCAAAATAACTTGCATAATGTTCAAAATAACTGCAGCTTCTTGTTACACATGAACCTTTGTGACCTCATATCGTTATGTTCAAAATACACGTACTGAACAAGAACGGGTCGAGTAGATCGTGGTGAAACTTCAGAAAGTCAAAAAAAAAAAATTAGAAACTTTGGGTTACTTGACTAGAAGGCGTAAGTCAGCCAAACTTAACTTACAGTGTGCGGCACAAGTCGGTTTACCGAGGTGCGGGCGGCTCGGAAGAAACACTGTCGGCATCGTTCAATCAATGTCTTGCCAGAACGGTGACAATGTCACAGTTCAGAGGGCCGTCTGAACCGTGATGCTGGCACTACATCCGGCGATGGCGACTGGCTGAATGATGGTGATTATGTTTCTTCTTCTCGGGGCTGTGTCACCTCGGCAGGAGACGGTATAAAAAATAAAATGACTTTTGACTTAGCTGACATGGTGCCAATAACTATGGTCAAATAAAAGAAAGTTTTTTGTGGCTAATGCTGCACCCTGTAAATGATTATAAAAATAAAATAGAACTTAAGATACAGTTCTCTTATAAAGTTCCTCTATACAGCTGGAACTTCTGCAAATGCAACTGATAAAGTTCATCAAAAATGGAATATCACGTTGAAAGGCCTTCACAGTCTACGCTCCTCAATTCTGGATGTACTTTTTCAATTGTATTTACGAATAACTGCACTGTGTAGAGTTGTATAAGAGTTAACTGTAGTTGCAAGAGCAACCTGCCAACACTGATACACTCCTGGGGTAATGTAGTATTCTTACTGTAGTTTGAAAACAAGAGAGAACAGCGATCATGTTGTGGGGCTCTGGAAGTGTGGTCGTTACTCGTCATTATCCTACACTTTGATGCACACACACGTCTAACGTGCACTTAGATGAACACACACATCGTCTAAGGGACCCTTCAATATACACACACGTCTAAGGTACACTTAGATGTACACACACATCATCTTAGGTACCTTTAGATGTACACACACACCTAAGGTATCCTTAGATGTACACACACATCTAAGGTGCACTTAGATGTACACACACATCATCTTAGGTACCTTTAGATGTACACACACACCTAAGGTATCCTTAGATGTACACACACATCTAAGGTGCACTTAGATGTACACACACATCTAAGGTGCACTTAGATGTACACACACAGAACACATCATCTAAGGTACCCTTAGACACACACACACATCTAAAGTGCACTAAGGTTTCTTAAGGTGTGGGTCAACAGTTCTAGCCATGGTACAGTGGCTAGGTGCTAGGCAGGGTACGGGCATCTTCACAAGAACCCCATACTCCCCCAGACCATACCTGGTGCATCACTGTCGTTCCAGGTGCCCACGACTGTGCCGGCTCTGGTAACACACTTTTGCCCATTTGATCTACTTGACGACAATAGTGCCACGACTCACGCGATTCTTCCAAGCCCATGGGTTGCTTAAGGGAGGGACATGACCACCCTAGCCCATGCTTCAGTCTCATCGTTCTGCAGAAGTGTCGAACGTGTCAACATGGGGAATGGAGGCTCGATCCTCCGTCTATTTAAACATTGCGTGGTCCTGGACCACAGCCTAAAATAGTCTGTATGCAGTGCCAAATCTCTCACTAATGGCTGGCACTGGTAATGCTGCATGACAAGATGGCAACATACGCCATCTTGGCACCCATATTCAATTTGTCCGGGCATTCAATGCTTGACTGAACTTCATATATGTCCACTGCAGTGGAAAGTGTGTAAGTACACTTAATACAAGTGGCAGCAGTAGCAGCAGCAGCAGTAGTAGTAGCAAGGGTGCTGTATCCAGCTACTGTAAAAAATAAAACCATTTTTGAAACCATAAACAGCTTACAGTTGAAGCTAGAATCAGCTTACATCTGAAAGCTGTAATCTGCTTACAGCTGGAGCACATAATTCACACAGCTGCCAGCTGGTACAATTTCAGGAACGTGTGTAGAATTCTATAACAGTTTCACATTTTTTCAAAAATCATTCAATAGATACAGAAACATTGTAACTCACCCTTGGTATCTTGTCACAAATTTTGGGGGATTTGTAAATCCAAGTGGTTTTTTGACAAACATCATAACAAGGAATTATAACACCAACATTTCCACTTGGGCAGACTGTGTATGGCTGCCACACTGATTTTCAAAGAGGCTGTTTCAGAGTACATATATCCTGAAACCTGTGATTGTAGGCAACCTGTAGAGGTACAGAAATAGTTTTTAACTGTATTATCTCAGGATTTGTAACATCAGTTATAGTGTTTTTCTTGTCAGGGGTTGCAAGGCAGTGGAGGCAATGTGTTTTATTCGTGCATTCAATTTTCAGTGGATAGTTATACGAACACCTCCATGGGGAAATGGTCACGAATCCTTCCTGCGTAAGCCATGCATGTCGTTAGAGGCTAAAATGCTGGCAGCAAGGGGTTAGTAACCCCTTCTCCTGTATAAATTACTAAATTTAAAAAAAAAAAAAAAACTTTATTTTTCTTTTTAGGTCACCCTGCCTCGGTGGGAGACGGCCAGTGCGTCGAAGAGAGAAAGTTACACAAACAGTGGCTTAGATTCTTGTAGAAGCTTGGTTAATGTTGGTGCCTTCTAACTGGGGTTATTTTGCTGAAAGAGATCAACAACTTTCACCCCAAGTGGTGATCCAGCAGTCACTGAACTACATTTCAGAAGGAAAAAAAAAAAAAAAGGTTTAGAGTCTGCCAGTCTGCAGTCTCTACCAAGCAGACAGGTTACAATGGTAGAGGTGCAGTCTCTACCAAGCAGACAGGTTACAATGGTAGAGGCACAGTCTCTACCAAGCAGACAGGTTACAATGGTAGAGGTGCAGTCTTTTGCCAAGCAGACAGGTTACAATGGTAGAGGCACAGTCTCTACCAAGCAGACAGGTTACAATGGTAGAGGTGCAGTCTCTACCAAGCAGACAGGTTACAATGGTAGAGGCACAGTCTCTACCAAGCAGACAGGTTACAATGGTAGAGGTGCAGTCTCTACCAAGCAGACAGGTTACAATGGTAGAGGTGCAGTCTCTACCAAGCAGACAGGTTACAATGGTAGAGGTGCAGTCTCTACCAAGCAGACAGGTTACAATGGCAGAGGTGCAGTCTCTACCAAGCAGACAGGTTACAATGGTAGAGGTGCAGTCTCTACCAAGCAGACAGGTTACAATGGTAGAGGTGCAGTCTCTACCAAGCAGACAGGTTACAATGGTAGAGGTGCAGTCTCTACCAAGCAGACAGGTTACAATGGTAGAGGTGCAGTCTCTACCAAGCAGACAGGTTACAATGGTAGAGGTGCAGTCTCTACCAAGCAGACAGGTTACAATGGTAGAGGTGCAGTCTCTGCCAGACAGATTACAACTATTCTGTATCAAGCAGACTAAGTCACTTGTGGTTCACTACTGTTTCAAGAGGCTGCACATGAGTGGTCCACTTGTTAACTGTGAACATGCAAGCAAACCACTTCAAGAACTTACTGCTGAAGAATAAATCAAACTAGGGTACGGGTGGGGTTAGAACCCATGGTGAGCGAGCCGTAAAACTCCAGGCCGGTGCGCTAACCGCTGGGCCAGTTGGCTACAATAAGAATCATCCAACTAAATGGCTGAATCTTATCAAGAGGCATTTGGCTCAGTGGTTAATGCACTGGCCTGTGTTTTAGGAATGGGTAAAAGTCCCCTGCTCCCTAATTTGTTTGCAACTGCGTTATGACTTCGTGAGTCACGGCAAAGAAAATCCAAGTCATTACTTTTGACATAGCTCTGTATTATAAAACTGTACACTTGTTCAAAGTAAGAAGTGACTTGGAGTGAACAGTTGTACCAAGATTTGCCTAGCTACAAGCTGTGATGGCTGTGTTGAGGGCCCCTGGTTATATTATAGAAATTTTGTCATCAATGATGTACAGATTGAGTCAAGGGTGTACAGTTGTTCCACAGTCACATAAATCCCCAAGTTCCCCAGTACAATAGTCTTCTCCCACTTCTACACATACTTTTATACCTTGGTTGAGTTTCAAATCTTTCTACTCCTGGAGCCTGGCCATGGGCCAGGCTTGTCTGGTGCAAGCCTGGTCAGCCAGGCTGTTGTTGATGGAGGCCCACTGGCCCACTATCCATCACAGCCTGGTTGAGCTGGCACCTACATACATACATAACATCTGTGTATGAAAGTATTTTAGAAAGTTCTTCAGAGAGGTCATCATACACTGTAAGACCACAGAGGATGTACTACAAGTCTGTAGAGCAGCAGCTAAATCTAAGATCTCAGTGTGTGTGTCAGGCTTGCCCATGACCACGTACTCCAGGTACTGAAGATGGCTTACAGCAGATGAAAGCTTGACTGACATGTTTTCTGTAGTCTTCAGCTTAGTGATGAATTGTCTCTTGCTCATCATAGCGTCCAGAAATTCTGACTTGGCTCTTCATCTGCAAGAATGAGAATCACTCACAAACGCATTCATAGTATTGACAGACAAGTTACCACTACATCTGTGTATGTTGCATCACAGATGTGCGAGTGCAAGACAACACACTCAAAAATATGAGTAAACGTCAACATGGGAACTTGTCTGACACCTAGGGTGAAGTTTCTTTCATTTTCTCTCTCTCTCTACATCTCTCTCTCTCACATACACACACTCTCTCTCTCACTCTCACTTTCACTTCTCTCTCTCTCTCATACACACACACACACAGAGGAATCAACAAGGTGGACAGAGATGGGATGTTCCAGAGATGGGACACAGCTTTAAGCAGAGGTATGATAAAGCTCATGGAGCAGGAAAAGTGACCTAGTAGTGGCCAGTGAAGAGGCAGAGCCAGGAGCTGTGACACAACCCCTGCAAGCACAACTAGGTGAGTACACACATGCATACACACTAGAGCTCTCACCTGGCTACCCAACTCTGCTCACTAGCACTACATCTCTGCCTACCCCACCACTAATCTACTACCAGCATCCACAACCAAATCACCCTCACCATTCATCCCCCATGTTCATAATTATTCCAAACATCATCTCTAATGCCCCTATACTCACAAAGATCACATCCTCACACAAACACAATTGCTAGTCAACCTTCTATCAATCTGGGCTCTGGGAGTAAAAAAGACTGGGAACTCACAAAAGGTACATCTTGGGGATGCTCAGGCTGTCAGTACAAGGCTGACTGTTGAGGCCTGTCAGGAACCTTGCCAGGTGTCAGTACAAGGCTGACTGTTGATCTCAGAGATGCTAAAACTGTCAGGGACCTTGCCAGGTGTCAGTACAAGGCTGACTGTTGATCTCAGAGATGCTAAAACTGTCAGGGACCTTGCCAGGTGTCAGTACAAGGCTGACTGTTGATCTCAGAGATGCTAAAACTGTCAGGGACCTTGCCAGGTGTCAGTACAAGGCTGACTGTTGATCTCAGAGATGCTAAAACTGTCAGGGACCTTGCCAAATGTCAGTACAGCAAAAACTAGACCAGGTGCTTCAGACTGGACCCAGGTGCTCCAGACTGGATCCAGGTGCTTCAGACTGGACCCAGGTGCTTCAGACTGGACCCAGGTGCCTCAGACTGGACCCAGGTGCCTCAGATTGGACCCAGGTGCTTCAGACTGGACCCAGGTGCCTCAGACTGGACCTAGGTACTTCAGACTAGACCTAGGTGCTCCAGACTGGACCTGGGTGCTTCAGACTGGACCTAGGTGCTCCAGACTGGGTCTAGGTGCTTCAAACCAGACCTAGGTGCTCCAGACTGGACCCAAGTGCTTCAAACTGGACCTAAGTGCTTCAAATTGGACCTAGGTGCTCCAGACTGGACCTAGGTGCTTCAGACTGGACCTAGGTGTCAGAGTACATAAATTTACTCAACATTCAAGAGCTGTGGATGAGTTTAGAGTACCAGGAACTTGAGTACGAAGGAGATGGCACTGCTGCCAGTCACACCTAGTCGCTGCCAGATGGCACGCCATCAGTAGTCCGACACTGTGCCATCGTCGTGACCCGAGGCGGTGGCACGGTGCCTCTTGGCCCTCAGCGTGTGCTGCGCTGGCTGGTTGCTGGCAGTGGTGGTGGTGGTGGTTGTGGTTGCAACACTCAGGTCAATGGTGGTTGCTTGGTGGTGGTGGTGGTGGTGGTGGTGGTGGTAGTGGCGGTGGTGGCACTCTCGTCTACCAGCGCCATCAGTGCCACCTTCACTCTTCATCTAGTGAAGAAATACACAATAAATTTTGTATACTAGTCTAATACAATTTTTATTATCAATATTACTGTGGTTTTTATTAATTTTTATTTTCACTATTAATTTTTATTATTAGATATAACATGATGTAGGAGGCAGTGTGTGAGGCAGTGTAGGAGGCAGTGTGTGAGGCAGTGTAGGAGGCAGTGTGTGAGGCAGTGTAGGAGGCAGTGTGTGAGGCAGTGTAGGAGGCAGTGTGTGAGGCAGTGTAGGAGGCAGTGTAGGAGGCAGTGTGTGAGGCAGTGTAGGAGGCAGTGTGTGAGGCAGTGTAGGAGGCAGTGTGTGAGGCAGTGTAGGAGGCAGTGTGTGAGGCAGTGTAGGAGGCAGTGTGTGAGGCAGTGTGTGAGGCAGTGTTTGAGGCAGTGTAGGAGGCAGTGTAGGAGGCAGTGTGTGAGGCAGTGTAGTGTAGGAGGCAGTGTAGGAGGCAGTGTGTGAGGCAGTGTAGGAGGCAGTGTATGAGGCAGTGTAGGAGGCAGTGTAGGAGGCAGTGTATGAGGCAGTGTAGGAGGCAGTGCGTGAGGCAGTGTAGTAGAGGCAGTGTAGGCAGGTGAGGCAGGTAGCGTGTAGGAGCATGTAGGCAGGCAGTGTAGGAGGCAGTGCTGTGAGGCAGTGTAGGAGGCAGTGTGAGGCAGTGTAGGGAGGCATGTGTAGGCAGTGTAGGCAGTTAGGAGGCAGTGTAGTGTAGAGGCAGTGTAGGGCAGTGTGAGGCAGTGTGTGTAGGGCAGTGTGGAGGCAGTGTGTGAGGCAGTGTAGGAGGCAGTGTAGGAGGCAGTGTAGGAGGCAGTGTAGGAGGCAGTGGTGAGGCAGTGTAGTGTAGGAGGCAGTGTGTGAGGCAGTGTGGTGAGGCAGTGTGAGGCAGTGTAGGAGGCAGTGTAGGTAGGTAGTGGGTGAGGCAGTGTGTGAGGCAGTGTAGGAGGCAGTGTATGAGGCATGTGAGGCATGTAGGAGGCAGTGTAGGAGGCAGTGTGTGAGGCAGTTGTGAGGCAGTGTAGGAGGCAGTGTAGTGAGGCAGTGTAGGAGGCAGTGTAGGAGGCATGTGAGGATGTAGGAGGTAGTGTGTGGAGGCAGTGTGAGCAGTGTGAGGCAGTGTAGGAGGCAGTGTAGGAGGCAGTGTAGGAGGCAGTGTAGTGAGGCAGTGTAGGAGGCAGTGTGTAGGCAGTGTGGAGGCAGTGTGATGAGGCAGTGTAGGAGGCAGTGTGTAGGAGTGCAGTGTTAGGAGGCAGTGTAGGAGGCAGTGTAGGTGGGTGAGGCAGTGTAGTGAGGCAGTGTATGGAGGCAGTGTTGTGAGGCAGTGTGTGAGGCAATGTATGAGGCAGTGTAGGCATGTTGAGGCAGTGTGAGCAGTGCAGTGGCAGTGTAGGAGTAGTGTAGTGAGGCAGTGTAGGAGGCAGTGTGTGAGGCAATGTAGGCAATGATGAGGCAGTGTCAGGAGGCATGTATGGAGGCAGTGGTAGGAGAGTGAGGGAGCATGTGTGTGAGGCATGTGAGCATGAGAGGTAGTGTCATGAGGCAGTGAAGGAGGTAGTGTGAGGCAGTGGTGAGGCATGTGGAGGCAGAGTGTGAGGCAGTGTGTGAGGCAGTGTGAGGGAGTGTGGAGGCAGTGTGAGGATGTGATAGGCAGTGAGGAGGAGTGTGATGGAGGCAGTGTGAGGATGTAGGCAGTGTAGGACATGTAGAGGCAGTGTGTGAGCAGTGCAAGGAGTGCATGAGGCAGTGTAGGAGAGGTGAGATGTGTGAGGCATGTGGTAGAGGAGCAGTGTGTGAGGCAATGTATGAGGCATTGGTTGAGGATAGAGCAGTGTAGGAGGCAGTGTGAGGCAGGTGAGGCAGTGTAGGAGGCAGTGTATGAGGCAGTGTGTGAGTAGTGTGAGGCAGTGTATGAGGCAATGCATGAGGCAGTGTAGGAGGCAGTGTAGGAGGCAGTGTGTGAGGCAGAGTGTGTGAGGCAGTGTGTGAGGCAGGCTAGCTGTATGAGGCAGTGTTGGAGGTAGTGTGAGGCAGTGTGTGAGGCTAGTGTTGAGGCAATGTAATGAGGCAGTGTAGGAGCGTGTAGTGTGTGAGGCAGTGAGCATGGTGTGTGAGGCAATCTGTATGAGGCAGTGTAGTGAGGCAGTGTAGGCATTGTGCAGTGTGTGAGGCAGTGCATGAGGAGTAGATATCATGAGCAGTGTAGGCAGTGAGAGGCATTGGCTTAGATGTGAGATGTATAGTGCATGAGAGCATGTGTGTGAGGCAGTGTATGTGAGGATGTTGAGGCAGTGTGTAGTGAGGGAATGTGCATGAGGCAGTGTAGGAGGCAGTGTGTGAGGCAGTGTGTGAGGCAGTTAGAAGTGTAGAGGCTGAGATGATGAGCGAGTAGGCATGAGGCAGTGTAGGAGGTAAGTGTTGAGGCAGTGTAGGAGGCAGTGTGTGAGGCAATGTAGAGGCAGTGTAGGAGGCAGTGTAGGCAGTGCAAGTGTGTGAGGCAGTGTGTGAGGCAATGCTATGAGGCAGTGTAGGAGGCAGTGCAGTTTGGAGGTAGTGTGAGGCAGTGTGTGAGGCAATGTATGAGGCAATGTATGAGGCAGTGTAGGAGGCAGTGTGAGGTAGTGCATGAGGCAGTGTAGGAGGCAGTGTGTGAGGCAATGCATGACATAGTGTAGGAGGCAGTGTGTGAGGCAGTGTGTGAGGCAGTGTGTGAGGCAGTGTGTGAGGCAATGTATGAGGCAGTGTAGGAGAAAGTGTGCAAGGAAGTGTGCAAGGCAGTGTATGAGGCAGTGTAGGAGGCAATGTATGAGGCAGTGTAGGAAGCAGTGTATGAGGCAGTGTAGGAAGCAGTGTGTGAGGCAGTGAAGGAGGTAGTGTGTGAGGCAGAGTAGAAGGCAGTGTGTGTGGCAATGTATGAGGCAATGTATGAGGCAGTGTATGAGGCAGTGTGTGAGGCAGTGTAGGAAGCAGTGTATAAGGCAGTGTAGGAAGTAGTGTGAGGCAGTGTGTGAGGTATGAGGCAGTGTAGGAGGCAATGTATGAGGCAGTGTAGGAGGCAGTGTAGGAGGCAGTGTAGGAGGCAGTGTAGGAGGCAGAGTAGGAGGCAGTGTAGGAGGTAGTGTGTGAGGCAGTGTAGGAGGCAGTTTATGAGGCAATGTAGGCAGGTAGTGAGGCAGTGTTTCCTAGGAAGGTAGTGTGCAAGGCAGTGTAGTGAGCATGCATGTAGGAGGCAGTGTATGAGGCAGTGTAGGAGGTAGTGTGTGAGGCAGTGCATGAGGTAGTGCATGAGGCAGTGTAGGAGGCAGTGCATGAGGTAGCACATGAGGCAGTGTAGGAGGTAATGTGTGAGGTAATGTGTGAGGCAGTGTAGGAGGTAGTGTGTGAGGTAGTGCATGAGGCAAAAGTATTGTCCTTCGATTAGTGTGTCTGAGTATTTTTCTGGTATTACATAGGCAGTCTTTGGTGACTGTCTTCCATGGTTGTGTGCTCTACTCTGCATTAACCTCAACTGCTTCTCTTGCAACAGGCTTTACAAACGTATGGTATGGGAATGGTGTCCCCCATCAGCACCAACTTAACCAACTTGTATATGGAACACCTGGAAGCTGTATGCTTCATCGACATCATGCATGAATGCTTTCCTAACATCATCCTCACCAGCATCACTTGGTTATGTTATATGGATGATGTCCTCACAACTCCCAAATGTTCTGATGTGTGGAATCTTAAGGGAAGAATCAACGCAGTTGAACCGGTTATCCAGTTTACACTCGAAAAAGAGTTCAACGACAAACTACCTTTTCTAGACGTCCTCATTCACAGAATAGACAACAATCTATATAACAAAAAAAGGCACAATACCGTGACTGAAACGATACACAAATAACCCGCACATAAAAGAGAGAAGCTTACGACGACGTTTCGGTCGTTATTTGTGCAACAATCTAAGGTTTCAAGTTTACAGGTAACCTACAAACAAAAATGATGTCATGCACTTCTATTCCAGTCAAGATACTAAGAACAAAAGAAGCATCGTCATCAGTTTTCGTAAGAGCATAACACTGAATTTGCAATCCAGTGTCTCGACAAGGAGTGTACATTAGGGTTATAACTTTTTTACTTTTCTTCCAAATAAATCATCTATGTCGTAAATCAATGAACTTTTGTTTAAAAACAATGAAAAAGTCCCTAATTCCTCTCAGTTTTCAAAAAAGGTCACCCCTAAATAAAAACTAAGAATCACGATATATCTGTGTTACTGCTCGTAAGTAGCAACTCAGAAAATTACTAATTGGCAACTCAACATACAGCCATCTACTATTGTTATCAGTCTCTTATTGTATTTGACACAGGAGTGTATCAGTGAGCACCACTTGTCTGACAACATATTTACAGGTATAGCCTAATAGTGTGGGTTTTATTGTCAATATCTGACATTAATATAGGTAGTAGATTGGTAGACAGCAACCGCCCAGGGAGATACTACCGTCCTGCCAAGTGAGTGTAAAACAAAAGCCTGTAATTGTTTTACATGATGGTAGGATTGCTGGTGTCCATTTTTTCTGTCTCATAAATATGCAAGGTTTCAGGTACGTCTTGCTACTTCTACTTACACTCAGGTCACACTACACATACATGTACAAGCATATACAGTGGACCCCTGCATACCGTTGGCCTTACATAACGTTAAATCCGCATACCGCTACATTTTATCGCTAAGATTTTGCCTCGCATACCGCTAAAAAACCTGCTCAACGCTGTTCGTCCGAGACGCGTCTATGTGCGGCCTGAGCCACGCTCACATGTTCCGCCGGTGGCATTGTTTACCAGCCAGCCTCCGCGGTAACATCCAAGCATACAATCGGAACATTTCGTATTATTACAGTGTTTTTGGTGATTTTATCTGCAAAATAAGTGACCATGGGCCCCAAGAAAGCTTCTAGTGCCAACCCTACAGCAATAAGGGTGAGAATTACTATAGAGATGAAGAAAAAGAT